TATATATAATCTTTATGTCTAGTTGAAGGCAGTGAGTAGATACTGAATTGTACTGAATTTATACATGAACGTAACAATTTGAAAAGACTCATATGCCAAGGACCAAAAGGATTATACACTCGTAACTCTGTATTCTTCATCGCAATACAGTAAGGAGCAAGGAGCATAAAAAGACACCACAGGGCTAACCCACGGGGGGAAAAGAGTCAGATTCTTCCTTTAAACCAGTCGGGTATAACAATATATATAATGGCGTGACAATTCTACTGACAAAGTACTCCAGCATAACGATCAACAAACACTGAAAATCATTTCATGTGCATCTGTTCGCAACTGATGTCGCACACACACAGGCGTATATACACACAAACATAAAAAGAGGAGAAAAATGGAGAAAGACAGAGACACATCCTGGCCCCTCTGACCTAAATAGCTACATTACAGTGTGACAGACTGTTAAGTCTTTGTTCATCTGTTTTATCACTGTCATTTCTTGCTCGTAAGAACTCCTGTTAACTTCCTAATAAGGTGACAGACAGGAAAGAGAATTACTCTACCCTGCTGAACTCATTATGGTTCACACTAAGCTTAAACAGACCATGTTCATTTCTATTTCAATCAACTGCCAAGCTAAAAACGTAATTATTGGCTTGTATATGTTTATATTTTTCATGCTCAGTTCTCAGACATAACCATTGGGAAAGCAAAGTAATGTCAGTTCTTATTCATTACAACTGAATTTCTCGAGAAGAGACGTTCAGTGAGTCATCTGCCTGAGTGTTTCAATCATTGTGTTAATTTCCCTCACTCTTCCTCTTTCTACCTAAATTCAACACAGTACTTCTGAATGTCTCGGACAAATATTTTTCGTACAATAGTTGCAAGAACCACAATTTAACCATGCCTCAAATGAATCAATAAAGCCATCTTTAACAAATAGCGCTGGGGGTACAGCACTGACGATGTCTGACGTCAGTCTGACTAGTGTTACAGTTTTGCAATCAATACACCACATTAGTCAGCTTCAGTTGAAAAAGATGATAATTCTTCCTCTTCCCCTCAGTGATCTTACCATGCCTTGTCTGCACGCCTGTGTTTTGAAGAAGGTGAAATGATTGGACCTATTATTTCTGGCAAACGAAAACAAAACCTTGGAGCAGTTTATAACGTAACTAGTGATAGACAGCCAGTCGTGACAGTTGTGTAGGTGATTCAGGTGTGGGTAAAATGAAGTCCGCACAAAAGAACAAACACTGCCTCCATCTGTGTCTGTGTTTTCCATAAAAACAAAGTATGAAAAGCTGTAATAGTTCTGCAACGATGACCACCTTTTTCTAGATTAACTACAGAATTTCATATATTATGTCTTTAAAAATTACTGATTTAGTTAGATTACCAAAATTGACAATGTTCTGTCCACAAGCAAACTGATTAATCATTTAATCCTTTCAGCTCTTTACTGTATAATTCCTCATCCCTTATTAATGCATCATCTTGTGCTAGTGCTTTAATATGTACACAATTAAATTAATATACAATGTATACACTATATTGGTCCAAAACAATAAAAAAAAATAGAAAATAAATATTACACCAACAAACAAAAAAGCTCTTCTGTATCACTTCATTTAGAGCTTCCCCTCTAAGTCTGAAGACGGTATACGTCAAAAAACACAAGAATGATGAGGACAAAGTGCTGCTGAAGAACAAGAAAGCGAAAATGAATGAGGCTCCTTTTTCCCATCACAATCTTCTCTCACAGCTTCAAAACTTCCTTCCTGTAGCTACTTTTCACAATAAAACCCTTCCAGCAAAAAAGAATGTGCATGACTTTTATTGTGCCCATGGGAAACCCTGTTGGCCACAAAACTAAATGTCACAGAGGAAACTTGGTCATTACAAGTAAAGACACTGACAATCTAGCACTCTTTGATATCAAATATCAAATTATCACGGCGGATACCAAAAGGAGGACCTATTTCTGTATTTCCACATTTGCATTATTTAAATTTAATGATAATTTCTTCTTATCGTTTATTCCAAACGTACATATTTTTGACTAATCCATATACCTAATACCTTATCCACAGCCCATATATGGGTCAAAGATTTGGTCAATGTGAGTGTTACTAGTAAAAATAAAACAGCTCTGAAATGAAGACTGCTTGTGCATTCAGATATCAATAAATGGCAGATCAAACGTAACTTTGTGGTTCAAGCGCTTTAAATGTTCAAAGTCAGACAGTTCAAATTTCTGTCAAGGGTGCACTCAGGGAGAACTGCTAGAAACCAGTTGTTTCTTTGCCCGAAATGAAATTTTAGCGAGTGGTTGTACCACTAGAAAATTTATATATGTGTGTGTGTGTGTGTGTGTGTGTGTGTGTGTTGGGCCCAGGAGGAAGCACCTACTTTTGTCAACCTCAAAGGCGTGAAGCCATTTAATGTACCTTGTCAGGATTGTGTATGTTCTGCATGATTTAGTATTTGGGCTGTACAATAGATATGGCTGCAGCTGACAATTATACTCACTATCCATAAATCTATGCCTATTTTGCATGTGGTATAAAAATGTCTTTAAAAAAAGTTCCCAGAGGACACGGTGACAAATTCTCATGTTTAGTCAGACCAGACCAGAAACTAATAGTCGCAGATATGAAGTTTATTAACACAGAGGAGTAAGAAAGACAGAACACATTTGAGAAGATGAAACCAATAAAAAAATTTTGCCATGTTTGCCTAAAAAATGACCATAAATTACCATCATTTTACTTAAAACCATGTTTACTGTGCTGGGCCAGGGTCCCTGTGGCCCCTGTGGTCCCCCTAGTTATAGATAAAAACTAAAAATAGTTTTCTTTCACACCCTATAAAGCGAAAGGAAAGCATGCAGACGGCTGGTATGACTTATATAAAGATATTTTCGTTTATTCCACTTTCAATTGTGGCAGAGAGTAGACACAGTTTTGGTTTAAGACTGACACAGAATCTTATATCATGCAATATTTGTCTTTAGATGGGAGTCCAACTTCTTCTATACAATTTAACTTAGGCCCTAATTTGTGATGGCGTTGTTGTACAGGATTGCATCACATTCACAAGACTTAACTCGGTATATTCCTGAGTGAATTCAGATTTGAAATTTAAAGTTGTAATCGCAGTGTAAAGGTGACATCAGCCCAGCATCTATTTGCCTGTATTAAGCCACAGGACGTGGATGCAGTCTCGTTGCTATCAAGTGGACTAAACGTAAGCTATCTTCTTAGCCAGTTTACTTTAGGTGGCCAAAGCTAAAGGCAGCTGGATATTCCTCCGCTTGACAACAGCGGAGGGAGATGACAAACACGTAAGATGTGTTCGGTGTTACAAGACAGGTATTTTTTTTTTTCGACGGGACACATTAAAATAAAAAGGGTTATTTACTCACCTAGCAAAGCTTAGCCAGGCAGCTGGCAAGTTACTTCCGTTTCGTTTTAGTACATTAGACGATTCACTTAAGTTGGAGCTCCTCGCTGGAAGGATTTTAACTATCGCTGGTCGGCTGTTTTATTCCAAAACCTCCCCGAGAAGAATATCCAGTATCCAGAAGGGAAGAAAAATGGGTTAATTCCACGGTATTTGTTGATATTTGGTGGCTCGATCGGAGACGCAGTCCACCTCTGTTCTTTCTAACCCTTCCTGACAAGTTACGTCCCCTTTCCCGAAAACAACGCACTGCTCGTTTGAAGAATACGACAGCTGATTGGCTGACTGGCCCGTCACTCAGGATGACGACATTTAGTCATTGTTGGACCCACTGACAGAATATATAAGGTTGTACTGTGTCTTTTCGCTTGTATTATTATTATGGGTACAGAAATGTATAAACACATTAAAAGGAATGAGAAAGGAGAGATTTTTTGTCAAATGGTGTTTCCAAGGTCGGGAATGAACGTTCAATTTCAACTTGTAAATCCAACATGGCTGAAAAGTGGCCACAAAAAATGTACATGTACATTCCCACAACTGGGCTATTCAATCTGCTAGGGAAGACCGTGTCACGTGATCGAAAGCTCCAGATCATTGAATGAATGGACATTGTGGTGAGGACATTTTAATAAAACTTTATGGTTAATACTTGGATTTTAGCTAAGGATAAGATGGGGTTGAAGTACCTAAACTACCTGATTTTGGGTTAAAGGTTAAATATCCCCTCCAGACATATTCTAAGACCTAGAATTAAATGTTTTGAATAATAATTTTTCCACCAAAAAGTACAACAACTTCTTCTGCTTTATTGAAAAATCCAGAATCTACAAACCAAATGTTTTAATTTCAAAAATGTAAATGTTTCACTGTAAAGTCAATTATCTTATGTTTCTACATCACAGTTGTGTAAGTTTCACATTGGGCCATGATTGGCTTCCAAACCAGTTGTGAAGTTTGAAAGCAACAATAAGCAACACACACTTTTGAGTGGAGGTGGGATTAGATTAAGGAAAGTCTCCAGAGAATTAATTGTCAATGTAAGGACAAAATTAAGACATAAAGACAGGGGAACAAACAAGGACTTTTCACTTTCATGGACTTCCTAGTTGTGCACACTTTCTGAACTCTGTAGCAGGCTTATCATTCATCTTTGCCCTTTTGTAGGAGGCAAAAATGTAGGTAGTTCTTTCTAGGTTCTCGTTTGAACCATCTAAAACATCTTTATGATTGAGTTTCCAAAACCTGACAATACGTAGTCATAACCTATGGTTGTAATTACCACCGCCCCATCGCTTGCTAATTTGCATAACTGTCCTTTTGGATGTGGTTGTTTACTGTGAGTGCATTCCAGTGGAGAAACAGTGCCACCATCCACATCTCATTTCATACACTAATTTTGAATAAATCAAGAATTTAAAAAATAAATAAAATCAGGTGTGACTGATTTGCTTAAAACTGGAAGTCAGCAAACTCTCTAAATTATGTCACCACAAAAACAATTAATGGAGTTTCCCCACAGACTGCACACACAGAGACCAGGTGTCAAAGTATAGTGACATTTATATATCATGATTTATAAATAGTAAAAAACAGAAAACAAACAGATAAGAAGAAAACATTACTTTTTGCATAACTGATTATCATTAAGCTTAAGGTCAGCTACATGTAGCGTCCCTGAACAGGTACAACCCATTGTACTTACTTACTACATTGAACTCACTGTTTAAGCTATAATTTAAGTATTAAGCTATAAGAGCATTTAAAGTGTTAAAGCACAAAGGAGTTATGTTTTTTGACAAATTAACAAAAATGTTCATAAATATAATTTTTTTCTACTTACAACTTCAGTGTTATGTGTAATTTACCATTTATCACATGTTTATATTCTACTTATAGTTTCTACTTTATTCACAGTAAAGTGTTCCCAGGGTTGGTATCAGTCCCAAGCTTTTTTACTTACCTACTTACTTTCTACAATGAAAAAAGGATGTGAAGTCAAAAAATGGGTGGTTCATTTTAAGGACCTCCCATGCCACATCCCAGTTGTCGCTTATTGTCTTAAAGGAAGTGCGAGAGAAATTCCCCATGATCATGGCCGCCAAGAGCAAGTACAGTTTTAGATGACTAGAGGACAGTATTTGAGGATACTATTCTGACATTTAGTGAGATTGAATGCCTGCTCTCATTTAGAAAATAGCATGAAATGTAAACCCCACTCGACTTTTTGTGTTTTATAACCAAAAAATATGCCTTACCACAAAGTAGCTAGATATCACATGGTGAGTCAGAAAAACACATGTGAATCAAGGCAAGTTCAGCGGATTGAGGTTAGACTGAGACAAAAACAAAATATGTATCATGACTCTTTGGGGATTTCCACATAGCTACAGTATGTACCCTTTCAATTATCATTCTAAGGACAGGTGCAGAGTGACCTGTGGTTTATCAGACATGACTCACAGTGCATACATTATTCAAAACATGATTTATTTCAGTGTCTTGACATCAAAGATCAGAACAAATGTGCTGATCTGTGATATATTGATGTCATATTAAACATTATAGATTTTCATTAGAGATCAACTGTTTAATAATTACATAGTAATGGAGAAATGATTTAGAGCTTATTTTTTGTGTTATCAAACTTGGATTAAGACAATTCAGCTATGTAATAATAATTATAATAAATATAAAAAAAGACAAGAAACAGCAGCAACAATAAATAATATTAACAGCAACAGAAGAAGTGAACAGATACAACCAGAAACACACCAGCAATCAGAGATATAGATATTAGAAATTAAAAACATAACACATAAAGCATAATACAGTGTGCTGAAATAAAATAAAATAACAAATTATACAAAATAAATCATAATGATACACAGGAAATACTGTGTAAATTAATATAAAAGCTTGATTATAAACGTGTGTTTTTATAAGACATTTAAAAAATATAACAGATTTATGTAGCCTAATTTCCTTCAGTCTTGAGCCTCGATTATGTAACAATCAAAAGTGTCTTTCCGAAGGATCCAAAGCTGTGTTCTGGCTCATAAAGAGTTAAAAGGTTGGCAATATAACTAGGGACTACACCCTTCTGTGCTCTAATAGTTATCAGTAGGATCTTAAAATTAATTAATTCTAAATTTCATTGATAGCCAGTGTAGATTTACTAAAACGGGGATGATTATGGTCTCTTAGTGCCTGATTCATTCTAGCAGCAGCATTCTGTACAAGTCGGATGTGAAAGACTGATTTTACATGACTCATAATTAATGAGAACTTCTGTTTTAACCAACTTTGGTGTGAACATATTCATTATTAAGGTTTCAGAAACAGATCACACAGTGGGAGAGAGCTGTAGACCTTGTTGTGTCGACCACAATGCACAGCAATGGATCTTTAGCTCCCCCTATTGTCAACAATGTGGAGCTGAGTGTAGATCATAGTACCTGAAATGAGTCAAGAAAAAGCATGAAGAACACAGCTATTCTAAAATTGATATTTATAAGGTCAGCGTGTATATTACAAAGCAAGTTTAACGAGCATTAGAGTCATCAGGCTTGAGTATAAGAAGGAATCAATATTATAATAATAGAACTTTTATGGCTGCAAACTTCTGTATTTAAGATCTACTGAATTTTCAAAAGCAGAGGTAAATAAGAGAACGTACAAATTTAAATAAAAGAAAACTCACTTTATTAATTATAGTTAAACAGAACTTACACAAGGTATGTAGTGAGCAATATACTTATTTACAGGTTTTGCGCTGAATTGTATATATATTTGTGAATGATCAAGACCTTTGAATATCCCATTGAACTTGTCTAAATCAACCTACCACAATCATTTCTTTCTTCTCTTTGGTCCGCTGGCTCGTTTAGCCGAACGTGCTTTGATTCACTGCACTCGTGTCAAGTTGGCAGCCATCCTTCAGTTATCACAGTACTGTACCTTCGATGGGGACAGCATCAGCACTGTGATAACTGAACCAGGGCAGCCTGTCAAATCTAGCAGTGCGGGGCTTCGCTCCATTCGTCATCCACTCATAATATCTGTGCTCTAGGTCAACAGGTGCAAAGATGACAACGTTTTTCCTGTTGAATTTTTGCAGCTTTTTTTGCAGTTATACAAAACATATAGAAGTTGCATCTCCTGCATGAGTTTTCATATAAATAATTTTAAGCAATATACAGAAATACACAAATATCCTTCATTCCAGTGGTCACCAGCAGGAAGTCTTCTGCCCCTCTAACCGTGGGAGATTTTAAAATTCCACAACATTTTGGGGTAAATATAATTAGACGCCAGAAAATAAACTAACAAAGTCAGCGTGAAAAAGGTAGAACACATGAACTAAATTTCATAATTTCATTAGGGGAACAGAAATAAACATACAGACTTCTTAAGAGGATGTGAAACAGAACAAAAAACAAACAGTGGGGAAATAAAAGCAGTCCCATATGCCTTATGCCACTCTGTGTCAATAAAGTCTAGATATGGCAAATATGGCTCAGGAGTAAGTCTTGGGAGG